TGGCTGGGGAATTCTGGGAGTTGAAGTCCACTCATCTTAAAGTGGCCAAGTTTGGACAACACTGGTTTAGATAGACAGGTGAATCTTGTTTTTGATTCAGAGTGCTGACCTGAGTTAAAAAAAATCTTGGAAGTTTCCCTAAAATGATCGTTGGGTAAATTGAGCCTCGCTTTCCCTGTTCCAGAAATCCAGCATCCTCACCCGGGCAGCCGAGCAACGTAAACGTAGCCAGTCCATGAAGTCGTACCCCTCCAGCGAGTTGCGCAACGTGTGCGATGACCACAGCGCAGCAGAGGAGCCCCCAGAGACAGAGGACATGCTGCAACAGATGTTGGAGCGGAAGTGAGCCCTGGGGAGCGTTTTTGGTCTTGAAAGTACTCAACCCCTGGAAAAGCGAAGGCGTGCCAGTCCTTGGCTACTTGCCTGCCTCAAGAGGCTGCCCCATCCGGCCAGTGAGATTAGCAGGCTCCCTCTTACGCATCAAAGAGTCTTGTGGCACTTAAAGGCCAGTTAATTTTTGATGAATCTTTCATGGATCCTGACTTGCTTAAGTTACCTTAAAAGTCTTCCTTGGCTTTGTAAGGAGCAAATGCAGACATCTCTCAGAACTGATAAACTCAACTGTCCCTTCCTTCCTTCCTTCCTTCCTCCCTTCCCTTCCCTTCCCTTGCCTTCCCTTGCCTTCCCTTGCCTTCCCTTGCCTTCCCTTGCCTTCCCTTGCCTTCCCTTGCCTTCCCTTGCCTTCCCTTGCCTTCCCTTGCCTTCCCTTGCCTTCCCTTGCCTTCCCTTGCCTTCCCTTGCCTTCCCTTGCCTTCCCTTGCCTTCCCTTGCCTTCCCTTGCCTTCCCTTGCCTTCCCTTGCCTTCCCTTGCCTTCCCTTGCCTTCCCTTGCCTTCCCTTGCCTTCCCTTGCCTTCCCTTGCCTTCCCTTGCCTTCCCTTGCCTTCCCTTGCCTTCCCTTGCCTTCCCTTGCCTTCCCTTGCCTTCCCTTGCCTTCCCTTGCCTTCCCTTGCCTTCCCTTGCCTTCCCTTGCCTTCCCTTGCCTTCCCTTGCCTTCCCTTGCCTTCCCTTGCCTTCCCTTCCCTTCCCTCCTTCCTTCCTTCCTTCCTTCCTTCCTTCCTTCCTTCCTTCCTTCCTTCCTTCCTAGCTCCCTCAATAATCAAGTTGTTTGGCTCCTTCCAGATATACTCCGTATCCCAATCTGTACCCAGACCAGTCACCCAGCGAGGAGTGGACGATGGAGGAACGCTTCCGGCCTCTGACTTTCCACGGCCTGATTTTGCGTTCGCAGCTGGTCACCTTGCTTGTCCGGGGAATCTGCTATGCGGAAAATCAGTCAGTGAGTTCCAACTAAGATGTGACCGGGCTCTCTGAATTGTTAATAATCCAGCGGGTTTTTCCCCAGCCCACCCCCTGGGATAGGAAGAAGATCAGAGATTCTTGCGTTAATGCCCCAATGACTCATTTGAACCAGTAGCTCCATTAAGGTGTTTCTTTTATGCATTGTAGAAAATGATGTCTTTACTTCTTCTCATTTCACCCACGCACAGAGTGCCAGTCAGCCTCGTCTCTCGTATGCAGACATGTCAGAGGATTACCCGCGCTATCCGGACATCCATGATTTAGATCTCACGCTCCTCAACCCACGGATGATTGTGGTAAGTAAGACCTTCTCCTTGCAGCCTCAGCTGTTTCCACCTTGCTCCTTAGAAAAGACATTTCTTGGAATTTTTCTAGACTAATTTTTCCGTGTCTCTGCCTCTTCCTTATATGTTTCTGGAGGTTGCGTGTTCAGAGCAGTCCTTAGAGGGCAAATGGTTAGAGCAGCGTTTCTCAACCTTGGCAACTTTAAGATGGGTGGACTTCAACTCCCAGAATTCCCCAGCCAGCATCTTAAAGTTGCCAAGGTTGAGAAACGCTGGGTTAGAGACTTGTAACACAGAGTTTGGTGTGTTTCGTTCACCTAAATGAATTCCTTTGTGGAACTTAAAAGCTTCTTTCTCCCAACAGGACGTCACGCCTTACATGAACCCTTCTCCGTTCACCATCTCGCCTAATGCTCACATCTCCCAAGTCTTCAACCTCTTCCGGACGATGGGGCTCCGGCATTTGCCGGTGGTGAATGCCGTCGGGGAGGTGAGTCTGCCTGTGGGGTCTTTGGAGAAAGCCTCGTGCTTCTGCTCTGATCAGATTTGCGCTTTGCGCTTGATCAAGGTTGAGCCAGGGCTAAAGGGGTTGAAATTTCACCAGCAGATGTCACTGGAGGCCCACAAATGGAGTTGGAGCTTTAGGCTGGCCTAGAGAATTGGGAAAAATGTGCCAGGGGGCATCGGCCTCCATTAACTGCGGATCTGCTCCTGAAACCGCTTGTTCAGCTTGATCCAAAGGCAGCTTTACTCTAGAGCCTTTACTCCGAAGGAGAGATGTGGGGAAGCTAGGATTAGGCTGATTCTAAGATGGGAAGAGTGTTCCTGGGCAACAGAATTCCTTTGTGTTTTTTCCTCCCGGTCCTGGTTCAGTGTGAGGAAAGACGGTGCTCTGAAACATCGAAATAACTTTTCTTTGGAGGGGGAGGAGCATCGGGGTGCAGTTTTCCTGCCTGGAATATGGCTTTCTTGCCCCGATTTAATGGGGGATTGGGGACTCTCCCGGCTTTCCTTGCACCATTCCCTCTCTCCCCTCCCTGTTTGCTGGGCTTCGGTTAAATCCGAGGTTAGAGGTCAGAGAACGGCGCTACCATCCCCGCTAAGCTAAATTCAGAGAAATCATCTGCCCACTTTCCTGCCCGCAAATTCAGCACGAGCCTCGGAAAGGCTGTTGCTTCTCTGCCACCTTCCTGCGGGTCACCTTCTACGAACTGCACAGGCGGCACCGTTCTGGAGTGGGGGGGATCAGAAGGCAATCAAGTTAGCTTCCTGCATGCCGGAAATTCCTCAGCCCGACTCGGAAAGGCCAGCCCCCTCGTGCTTCTGCCTTTTTGCTTTCACACTTCACACGTTCATTTGCCTTTTTCTCCTCCCTCTTTCAGATGGTGGGCATTATTACCCGGCACAGCTTGACTCATGAGTTCCTGCAGGCCAGGCTGCGGCAGCATTACCACACCATCTAACCACGTCTCCCGCCGCCTCCGCCTCCAGAGCCCCCCGTGGGTTTCTGGGGCCACCGTGTGCACTTTAGTCAACAAAATAGGCCTGTCGTCGTCCTCTTTGGAGCCGTAAACTGTCAATCCTTTGGGTAGGGAAAAAAGCATGATAACTGGAAAATCTTGGGAGCGGGCTGCCCTCTTCTCTCCTAGCAGCCGTGCCCTTCTCTGTGGCTTTGGATTCAACCATCGCAATGCGGGCACCTGAACGAATCGCATCTCCACCTTATTCCGGAGAGAGATAATGCCTTCTTTTCTCTTTTCTAGCTGACTTTTTTTTGCAGAACTTGCAGACTTCCCGCTCTTGGGCTGATTGGGACACCGCATTTTTGCTCCAAACTTAGCTACCTGCTCCTCGGTTTAATGTTTACACCTTTGGTAAGGCTAAAACAGGACAAAAAAATTGGTTTTCTGACTGGGGCTTTTGATTCTCTGCTCTCCGCACGTCTGTACCTCCCTTCCGCTCTTCCACTTCCGTTGACGTCTTTCTGAGGTCAATCACCATGGGGCCAAGGAAGTCTCTGCTTCAGGGAAATTCAGATCGAGCCCTTGGTCCTCTGGATCCTGATTTGGGACCCCTTCAAAAAACCTGCAGGCGTGGGGATCCAAAAGGGGGTGCATACATGCGTGGAAGCTGCTGATAGAACGGCATCTTCTGGAGAGCTCTTGGACCCGATTTTGAGTGGGTTCATCTCCACTGGGGGCTGATCGACAGATTGGGCCTCTTCTTTCCCCAGAAGGCAATCTGATGGACAGGCAGCTCACGGCCAGCGATCCTGAATGTGCAGGGAAAACCAAGCGTTCTCAGGGGCGGGTGGAAGACACCTTGTCTGGCAGAACCAAACTGGTACCTTGTGATATTCTCTTCCATCCTTGTATGGGCTCCTCTTTGCATGCTGTTTTCCCGCTTGGCTGATCCCCCATGTCCCCCTTCTTGCTATCCCCAAGTCCACCCCTTCCCTGTTTCTGGCTGTAAGGGCATTCTCCCCCAATTCTTGGAAATCCTACTCCGGAAATGGCTGCACAAGGGTGACCCGCCGGGTGTCCCCGTATAACTTCTGAATTTTCCTGTTGTTGTCTCAGCCAGACGCCGCCTGGAAGGGCGAGGGGTGGCATTGTTCGCACCAGCTGCGTTCTCCTCTGCAGGGGGCTGTTTTCCTTGCCCTCGCATAACCCTCCCTGCACGGCCACCCAGCTTTTCGTCTGCAGCTGCAGGCGAGCGCTCCCCTCCCCGCCCCGGTTTGTTTCCTTCGCCAAATCTGGTTTTCACAGAAAGACTGTAATTTGCAGCTGGGAGGGGGCAGGGGAGGACGCATGTAATAGTTATGAGGAATACCCAGGTAGGACCGGAATGGGTCTCAGGAGGGGGTGTCAGCAGCGGCTCCAGCCGCGTTCAAGAGCTTTTCCATCCTCCCTGGGTCACACCGAGCCTTGAGCCGGCTGTGACCGGTCTGGCCTTTCTAACAAGCCTCATCCCGCCTGGCTCTTGCGCTGGCTATTCCGGCGGACTCCTGTCTTTGTAGCTGGGGGTTTTTGTGTGCGTGTTGTTTTCACCTCTGCATAAATCTGTCTCAAGGGAAGGCGGAACTCGAGCCTTGGGAGACCGGGGGCCGTGCAGCTGATGCAGCCTTGATAAAGCACAGGGGTCGACGATGTCCCTAGGGAGAGGGAAGAGGGAGTGCGTTCCTGGAAAAGGCCCTGCGTCCCTGCAGACCGCTCCCCGGGGGTTCCCCTCTCGGCCCGGCTTCTCTGCCCCCCTCTGGTTAGAGGGCTTAATCCGTGCCACAGCTGAGGAACCCATGCAGCTGCCCCCAGCCCCCTCCGGGGTTCTCTGCTGGGGAGGAACGCCTGTTTGGTCCCGGCAAGGGGTCCTTCCCTCCGTGGTGGCCTAAGAGCGCGGCCGGGTCCTCCCCGCATCCCCAAAGGGCTGTCCGTGGGCCTGCCGTTGTCTGCCTTCTGGAAGGCTTGACTTTCGCAGGTTCTAACCATTTCTCTCTTATTTGCCTGCTGATTTTATCGGCAACAAAATAAGGAATACAGCCGTTGTTTTGGGGCTCGGTCTACGGATGGGGCCCAACCGTGACCAGTTTTCAGAGGGAGGGCATTGCACAGGCAGGATTTTTCATGTGTCCTGATGCTAATTAAGTTGCCAGGGCAGCGTAGCCCTTTTTTCCCCCCTCTGCTTTCCAGTAATAGATTATTTCTACGTATTTTGGAGAAATGTGGGGTGGGCGCCGAGCAGGAGTGCAATTTCAAATACTGGTTCTGTCTACTCAAGACAGGAATGCCTTTGCAAAGTTTGCTTTTGTTCACCTGTTGTGTCTCCCCCCCCCTTTCTAATCCTCCTTTCTTCGCTTCATCTCGACCCAAATGAGATTGCAGCTCCTCCTTTGCCCCCCTCCTGCCCATGACCTTAAAAAAATAAATAAATAAATAATAGGGACAGATCATTTTCCAAGGTGTTAGTGTCCTCAAACTTCCCTTTGCCCTCTTTACAACCGTTTCTGGTTAGAACAGGTCCTGCTTCAGCCCTGTTAACAACTCTTGACAGCTGTCTTTTGGGGCTGACTGGCACACGAAATACATCCTTCGCTTTCCCCCCTCCTCTGCCCTGTCTTTCGTTGCATCAGCCTGTCAAACGTCCCGTCTGCAGCGTGAACTTCCAGAGAGACCAAAATGATCGTGGCCGATTTGCAACTTTGTGGAGCGGGTAAATGGGCATTTAATTCTAAAGTGCGGGGTATAAATGACCATGTTGTGTGCGTCTCTGTGTGTTTGTGCTAGTGAAAGAGACCAATTCTCTATTTTCCCAGGAAGCTGAAGTTGTTTTGCTCTGCTTTGCTTTGAGAATTCCAGAATTCGCAGAAAGAGAGAGGAAAATAAAAATAACTGATGTGATATTTACTTATTTGGCTAAGCTGGCTGTTTCTGCTCATCCTTTAAAAGGGGATGGAAAAAAAGTCCCAGGCTAATATTTTGGGCAGGTTTGTAATATTGCTGGCCAATTAAAACTTTCTTCCTCACTTCTGGAAGCTTGAAAACGTTGGAGGGCAAAACAATGGCATTCTCTGCCGGGTTCATCCGTATTACCCAATTATTGGCATCTTTCTAGGCTTGGGGGAAAAAAATTGTTTAAAAAAGCAGCCCTAGAAATCCAGGTGTCAGTACATTGACAAAGTAAGTGCCACATCTGTAGCGTGTTCTCGTTTCACAATCCGGATTACAAATGTCTCTATTCTCCCACGTGCTGACCTGCGATGTGTGTGTGTGTGTCTGTGTGTTACGTGTGCATTATAATCAAGGATTTAAAGATTCCAGCAGAGTAGGAGTTACGGAGTTACTCGGCTCCGAAAAATGGGAAGAGAATCTTCTTAAGCTCGTACGGATTGCCACTATTTTGATGATTATGGTTACGATTATTCAACCTGTCGGTCTTCAGCTGCTGCTTCCGATGGTTGTTACGGTCAAGGCCACAATGATATTTCGTGTTCCAGAAAGAAACTTCTTAAGTTGTTCTGCGTTGTTTTTCCCTGCTGTCAAATTTGCCTGCTCCTGAATATGGATTGGAAAACGGGTGAGCCCCCTTGATCAGACCAGTTCCCCCCAACCTGCAAACACATCCTTCTGCGCGTTTCACGCGTAATAGGCAGCAATAGGGGAGAATGGGCCTCCGATTCTTCTAAGGGGTGAAATATTTGGAGGGCTGCATCGATCCATTGTTCATCTTGTAAGGAAGTCTGAGTTTCGTTTTGCCCGTGTTCCCCCAGCGTCAGGCCTCAAACGAAAAGCATAGCAACTCACCCAAACTGCTTCTCGGTTAAAGGAGTGTCTAGGAGGACCTTTAATCCCTTGCCCGGCTGGTTTGTAAAAAAGACGGTGGTGGGAATTCTCACTCCTCTTAAAACGATAGCTCAGAATTGGAGGGGAAGGGGTTCCTGTAAAGTAACGCTAGTCTCTCCCACATTCCAAGAGTTAGGTGTGTTGAAAATTGCCTTCTGTCTCACAGTACTGGGGAACTTCTCCTCCCCTTCCCACGAAACCCTGTTTAATTAACATTAGCGCACAGAGTTGGCTTGACCTGTTTCACTGGCCAATAGCAGGACCCCAATTCTGGCTTGATGTGCCTCTCAGGATCCATGTCTGGGCTTTTCGTGGATCCTGGGGCGGTTTGGGCGGGGGGATTCTCGTACTTCAACAGTGTTAATATCTAGCCATTCCAGCGGGAAGCACAGGGGACATTTCTTTGTTTTAAGCTCTTAATCTTTAATTTCCAACGGCACTTTTCCTTGTCGCCATGAGCCGAATCACGGGAACTAATTTTGTTGTGTGCGTAACATTCGTTTTTAATAATGCTTCAAAACATTCTGGGCAGAGAATATGCTATTTTTCTAAATTTGGGTTTGAGCAGTTGTACTCTATAACCACGGTTCTTCCCTTTACAAAACAACAATAAAATTCCTCCTGTATGTCTTCACGGTCCTCCCGGATATCTCTCATTATTACTTTCTCTCCGTTCTTGATTTTTCCCAACGTTCAGCTTCGTTGCCTTTTTATCTTATTTATCAATAAGGGGAAGAAGAGTCAAAATGGTGGCACTGGCTGTTTCGGTGTATATTCGGAAACTAGCATTTTCCTCCACCGAGGCATTTCGAAGGCTTGGGGGACTGCTTAAAAAAAAAGGTGATATAACGGCGCTTGCTCTCTCCTAGTCTCTACAATCAGAGGTAGAGTGCTTCTGAACATGCAGGCTCGCTTTCGTTTGTCTCCCAGTCTGCTTTGCGGCAGACGCATTGGGCAGCAGCTGAGACAGCAACAGCGGTCAGGTTTATAAGATGCTCAGCTGTTTTTCCATCAATGGATAACCTCCTCTCACCGCTGGTAAGAACCAGACTCTTACATTCTGTTGATGAGACATTCTTAACTCGCCAACGTCATGAGCCCATTTTCTGGATTTGCAAAAGGCATTCAATCACAAACCAGCCCAGTGCCTGACTTTGCCCAGCACGCTACATTACACGCATGGAAAAGTATAACAAAGTTTAAAAGTAGCTGAGTTTCCTAAGCATTTGGTGCAAAGTTATTTGGCTTTGGAGTGCGTTCAGGAGAGGTGCCCCAGCGCTTCTGTAATCTTTGTTGTTTTCGTGCAGGCTTGCCCACCTCTGAAATGCCCTCTTTGCCATGGCTTTTAAGCTGCGAACATTTTGGTATGTTTCAACCCAATTTTTGCCCACTGGAACTTCTCAGGAGCAAGTTCCCTGGCGAGTTCTGTGAGGCAGCAAACGACTTAAGCTAGAGAGACATATCTCTGGTTCCCACTTATGCCAACTTGTCCTTTTGGAAGCAAGTGGTCATGCCACTCAAAAGCGAGTGCTGTATATTATGCTTATCCTGTTGTTTTATCTCCGTGTCCAAAAGTAAATTCGGAGTCAATTTCAGCTGAGATGTTGAGTTAACACAAATTATTTAAATCCCCCCCACATAACTACACGCATATAGAGAAAGGCCATTAAAACACTATTTATTTAATCATACCAGTGTTCCACAAAGTCTTTGTCGCATGCAGATAAAATAAAACCCGTAACGATAACTGGATATCTTCTGACTTATCCTTACCACACCCTGGAGCTTGTTCATGAACTGTGTCCCTTTCCATTCACACTTCGAGGGATGAAAAATGTCTCTCCAAATCAATTCCTCGTCATAATTCAAAGAATGAGGGGGCGTGATGGGGTCCTTCCCATTTCCCCACAAACCCCAAATTGCTATTCTTGTACAGGTGTTTGGCAACAAGGCATTTTAAGGGGGCTTTCTTAGCCTGTGCGGTTTTGGAAAACCAATCTTTCTTTCCCCATTACAGTCTGCTTGGCCTCCTAATTGGGCCCCGCTTCCTTGAGTTTTGTTTAGGGGGGAGAAAGTAAGATATCATTACACCTGTTCATTTAATTTATGAATAAGAATTGGGCGTGCTGGAAAGAACTCACCCTGTGCCCTGTCTCTGTCCTTGGTGCTGAATCATCTTAAATTCCTGATTGCGAGTTATCCAGTAGATTGGGTGCATAAAAGCATATACGTCTTTAAATTCACGTGATTAGGGGAAAACGTTAGATTTCTCTCCCATTCTTAACTTGAGAACTGTTGGCTTGGGGGCTGCGTGGTCTTGCTTTGGCCTCACAAGTGCCCTGCGGGGTGTGTTTCAGTTGGAGTGAAATGCTGATAATTCGTCCAAACTCCGGGATCGATGTGTTAAGGGTTTTTTCGGTGGGTGGAGCACACTGTTGGCTGAAAGAGTCTTAACGAAACAAAAACGCCTTTGGGGTAAGATGAGTGATGAGGTACCTTCCACTCAGCTTCAGTACTGTAAAAAAAGGGGGAAAAAGTGAATTACATTGACTACCAACCGATGTTTCGAACTTGCCCTTTTGTGCCTGAGCTAAATGTTGAGTTTATTTTTCAGGAGGAAGTAAAGGCAGTTTAGAAATCAAAACACGTTAAAGAAATAATGGGATCAAATATGGGGGAAGATACTGGGGCTCTTTTCCTGCTTCTTGCAAAGCTAGTTTTCAAGCTCTCCCTCCATCCTGGGTGTATCTATCTGTGCGTCTCCCTTAGGATAACATTTCACGTATCTGGAGAGGGAGATGTGCTTAAAAAGCTGGCGCTTACAGATAAATTTATAAAAGCAAAAGTTCTGAAGATAACCCCCTTCTGCTCATTTAGACCAGGGGTGTCCGATCTCTTCAACCCATCAACCCCTTCATGAAGCTTTAGATTGTCCATTGACACCCCCCAAACATTTATTATATGAGCATAATTTAATAAATACTACTTTAATAGTATAAATAATTATTATTATTGCTGACAGCTGACCATCCAGACATGGGTATCACTCTTGCCAACAGCCACCTCACCTTCAGGACTAGGGACTGGCATGGAGCTCTACAGAATTCCCAGAAGATCAATTGACCCCAATTGACCTTCCATCGTTTATCGACCACCTATTGACCCCCAGGCATTTACTGACCCCCCTTTTGACCCCCTGACATTTATCTACCTCTTGGATAGTCCCATCGACCCTTAGGAGTCAACGCTGACCGCTTCAGAGAAACGCCGCAGTGATTCTCCCCCGGCAACTTAACTAACGTTGCAAAGCTCTCTACGTTGCAACTTACGTGGCTTCTCTTGCATCCAAGTCCGCTCACTGCCCCTATTCTGTCCAGCCGTTGTCCGAAGCAGCTGGATAACCTGCGGGGCCCACTGAAAAGGCCCCCCAGTTTGTTCCGCACAGCTGCTGGTGCTTTTTCTGGATATTGCCAGTTGAGGCGGGCATTGCTGCCTTCGCTCTGAGGTCTTGGGTATTCGCCATCCCAGGAAGAGAGCGGCTGGGCTGCGTCTCCCGCTGGCTCGTCATTTGCTTCGTTCTGATCTTGTTCAAGTCCTTCTCTTTCTGCCAACTCCAGTTTGTTTTCAAAGCGCTCCAGAAGATCCTACGAGCAGAAGGGAAAATGAAAAGCCTATTTTGCAAGCCCTCACATTAAAGTCAGTCTCCGTGGAAGTGGCCTTCTGTATTCTCACTAGGCTGCTAAAAAACAGGCCAGAAGAAATAATTTAAGGCTGTTCAGGTATGTCTTGAACCATTTACCAGTTGCAGTGAAAATTCCGCATTCTTTTCAACCTTTGTCTATGCTGGTTTGTTTAGTTTTCAAGTAGTAGTTTGTGGAAAGAAGACGCTTGGTGGCTCCTGCAAGTCGTCCTACCCAGATTTCCAGTGCTGAGGAACGGGGGCAGGAGGGATGATCCAGTCACTATATCTGCTTTGGTCTAATACATATTTTCAACTGGAAATCGTGCCCTCGAGTAGCAGATTTGGAAACTTGAAGCTGAGACGAGAAAAGATGACCAAAGACTTGAAACCAAGGCAAGATTCAAACTTGGAACTTAATGGTCTTTTTCTCACCTGTGCTACAATGCCTTATCTTGGATGGATTTACGCACGCATGATACACAGTCCTGTGACCTGCTAGGGACTAGCCCATTGAGTAGATCCATCCTGGGTTAAATTCAAGCTCCCAGGAACGACATTCAGGGTTTTGAAGGCCAGACGGCCATCACGGCATTGTACGTTGTCTCCTGTTAATCAATGGCCCTTTACTTATAAGGTGACCGCCGACTGGAGTATCCGCTCAGGAAATGGCCCTTCCCATCACCTGCTCTCCGAACCTTTTAAGCAGAAAAGCGGGGTGAAGAACCCGGGATCTTGGCATGCCAAGCAAGGGCTCCACTCTCCAAGTTACCCAAGACTTATTCCGGGTTTGGCTCAACCTCAGATCTTACCTTGAAATCGGCTAGTTCTGCCCGAGGGATGGGCTGGGCCTCAGATGCACCTTGGAGGTGAGCAGTAAAGAGCAGGGAGAGCAGGAAAGGGATCTTCGAACCCATCGTCTTCTCCGGCATCCTAGTCTTCCTCCGTCCTCCGCCCGCTGTTGTGTCGATTCGGTGCCCTCTATCTTTATATCTTTAGGGCGGCCAAGCTCATGCCTGAAGAATGAACCCCACATTCTATCACCCTGACTCGATAAAGGATCTCAGATACTGGAGCCAGGAGAAGATTCCCTTTTAAAGTGATCTTTGTTGCCCGGAAAGCAACCTCCTGTGGTTTCTGAGCAGCGGGAACCGTAACTGTGGGGAACCCGTGACACACACATTCCTCGGGCCTCGTCTGGAGAGCTTTCACACTTCCTAGGTGTGAAAGAAGCTCTGAAAAATCCCTCTTTATCTGTTTTAGGAGACAGCCTTGTGTGGGGAGGGGTGCTTTAGCAGTGGAAAATCAGATTGGCTGGGGAACATGGGGCTGCTTTGAGATCCCAGCGAGCCGTGGCGGACGTGTGCTGCTCTCCCAAAGCTTGGAGTTTAATAATGATAATAACTAGCAATAAAATCAATCAAAGATTAAAATGACAAGGGCAGCAGACGAGATGGAATAGGTTTGGTTCTCATTTACCCTGCTGAGAGCTTGGGGTGGGATTTTGGAATTGGAGGCTTCTGCGTTAAATGCTGGCCTGAGAAACCCTCCCAAATGTGCTCCCTTTTAAGAGGATGGAGGGGAGAATGGAACCATGATTAATTATGTAAAATGCTTTCAACTGGGAATTAGAGGGCCAAAACATGATGACAATACCAGAGTAGAGAAGGATGAACCCAAGTTTTCCTTTGGCTGGAATGCAAAAAAGATAGATAGATAGATAGATAGATAATGATAGATAATGATAGATAGATAGATAGATATGCATAGATCAATCTAGGTGTTAGTTTTTTGGAAGACGGTGCAACCTTTTCAAATCCAAGGCGAGGATGCTGGGCTCACATTCCAGAAAGCAAGTCGGAAGATGAAGGAGTTGGCTGAGTAAGGGCAAAAACGGATGATTGGTTAATGTAGGAGTGTCTGCCTATTGTTGAGCATGAATCTTTTCACGTAGCGCCCATATTGTGCACGCCCAATAATGCTCAGAGAGAGTCATTCTCTTGCGGGGTGGGGAGGTGGGTGAGTTTTCCCTTAGGCCTCCTTTCTGCAAGGAAGTTATATTTTGGTCTGGGAGGAGGCCATGTTTGATTGAACTCTCTAGGACTTTGTCGGAAGAGGTCTTGGTGGTTAGAGAGGTGCCTCTACACAGCTGTGGCTGTGATGGTTGGGTAGGTAGCCTGAGCGCTTGCATATAGGAGAAGCTGGTTGAGTTTCCAGAATGGGCACCCACCCCAGCCCTCTCAAGGATGCTGTATTAATGGTCAATAACTCCAGCTGATGTTGACTGTAGCGTATGCGCCCGCCATGTTGGGTTTGTTTTCTAAAAGAAGGTTTGGTCTATGAGTGTGGCAGAACTAGGCGGTACACTCCTGGCTTGCAAGAATGGGGCTGTACCACTTCAGACTTCCTCTGATGCCAAGGGCAAGGATGGCCCCCCTCCCCATCACCGAGATTTCTCTGCCTATTTCAGCCTGTAGTTTGGGATCCATGGCACTGATAGGCCCAAAGGTTCAGGAAATAGGATGTTGGGCAGCCCATGGGTTGGCCTGAGATGTGAACATCCATGAATCTGGAGCCCCCACAGCTGATAACACCCTTCTGAGAGAAAGTCTGACATTTAACATCTACCCTTTGGTTTTACTCTCCTTGATGTCAAGGAACAAGAACTATTCCTGAAACTAAGGTGCCCATGAGATTAACCTCCAGGATGATGGGTTTCCTGCAGAACTGAGGGTGCAATGCTTAACTTTCCTCCTGGAAAGTCTTCTGAATGTGGTGGTGTGATATACATCCCACCGCAGGGAAAAAACTATGCTGATGGCATTCCTACATTGGGGAAATAGCCCCCCACCTACCCAGCTAAGGAGTGTGATTCAGACTTATGCCCAACGGCTTGAGCAAGGGCTGCCTGTAAGTCTGGGATAAAATAGCCAGAGCTGTATGTGGGCGGGGCAAGGGAGTGTAGGTGTGGCCAAAGCAGACAGTGGGTGTGGCCAAATACAAGGTTGGCATGTTCCAATCCTCTTGAGCAATTTTGTCCAGACACTTCGCTGGCTTTTTAAATGGATCTTCTTCAGTGCATCTTCTCCCACTTCTTTTGATCTGGAAACCGTAACTTTCATTTGCTGGGAAATTGCCCAGCCAAGAGCTTGATTATTTTAGACTCTGGCTTGAGAAGTGGAGGACAAGGTGGGAAAATGGATAGAAAGCTGGCGAGGAGTTGAGTGCCTTACATCCCTGATGGACAGGATTGCATTTAAACTCCCTTCTGACAGTGCTAAAATCTAGCGTTTGAACAACTCAGCTGTAATTTTAATATTTGGAAATCCCTTACAGTATGTGAAAATGGGTGACTCCTTTGGGCGTGTAAGGAAAGTTCAGAGAGTCTAGTAGGAATAACCATGAAGTGTAGATTGAGGCGGCTGGGGCCAAGGGCTGGGCAAATTTCTCTTTTTTTTTACTTATTTATTTATTTTCAAATTTGTATGCCGCCCATCTCCCCCAATGTAAAAGGAATAAGGGGCAAACGAACTTTTGTAAAACGCCAAGTGAGGGGAAGAGCCGAAAATGCAAAATGCAATCCCACACAGCAAAGTGGAGCAAGATATTGTAGCTTTAATTATTATTTCAGGTTAAGTTCTCCGTGCTGAAAATAAGAAAATTTCTTCTTTGAAAAAGGGAAGGGAAAAAAAGCAAACCAAGGCAGGTAAATAAATAAGTTAATAAATAAATAAATAGGCAGAGCGCGCTCTCTTCCAGCGCTCCCAGATCAGAAAAATCTTCAGAAATCCACACACCACGGGAAAGGAGCTGATCTTAGTTTCTTCTTGACCCTGAGAGCAAAGAAATGAAAAAGAGACCGGTTAGAGAGGAGGAAGCTCGTCTTGCGAATCAGTTATGCTGAACGTAACCACGTCAAGGGCATATCTGAGGTCTGGGGAAGAGGGAGCGTTTGCTCTCGGCGGCTAAACAAATGTTTGTGGTGGATCAGACCGTGGGGAGTGCCACAGTTGCTATTTCACATTTATGCCAATATCGCTCCCATTTTCTTCTGCAGGGCGGTTTTTATCTTTCTAAATAAAGCCAGCCTCCTCGGTAGAAATAATGAGGAGCGAAATAGGTTGTTTTTAAGACAGGAAGTCCTTGTGAAAACAGCTGAAAGTTTTTGCAGGGAAGCGAAGCGTTGAATCGGATCAGGACGGAATCGGGGCTTCAATATCCATTACCGCGGCTGCTTTTCCCCTTGAAATAGCCCTGGTTTGGGAATGTCCTTTCCCCTTTAAATGGCTAATATTTGCAATGGGTGTGATGGTGTGGGAGTGACAGCCTCATCGTAAAACAGAGGCTGTTCTGAGCCCCGTGTTATCGCCAAGGTCTGTGTCGAAATGCTGATGGTTTTCTCCCCAAGTGTAGATAATGGTGACTTTGCTGTTTTAGGGAGGGCCAAAGGAGAGGAAGCCTTTTATTAAAATTCAGGGGGAAACAGCTGAAACTTGGGGAACTCTGTTGAATAGGCTTAATAACGAGGCGGGCCACAGAGCAGGAAATATTATCGACTCACCTTTGCATCCCATTCCGCTGACGGATCCGATCCGGTCCAATCTTCTGCCAAAGCAGCCGGATTCTCGCATGCTCTTGGCAGCCTGAATCCCCCTCATGTGTTTGAGCAGGGAAGTTCTGTCGGAAAAGACGGGAAAAGCGTCGGCCGCGGGCTGATCGTTGATGTCGTCTTCCGCCCGGCTCTCCCCCTGGATTTCGAATTCGTCGGGGTTGCTCTGTAAGTCCTCCATCAAGGCCACCTTTTCCTCCAACCTCTCCAGAAGAGCCTAGGATGGGAATCAAGAAGGCCGCGTCAGTTGCCGAATAAGGCAATCACGGTCATGGCTATTCCAGAGAAAGACCCACTGACTTCCTAGATAACTAGATGGAGCCTTAAATGCAATTCTCATTGGATGCTGGCATCTGTATTTTTCCTATCCTACTAAAATGGGCTTTCAGTTTAGCAAGAGGTGGCCTGTCAAGAGTCAAAACAGCACACCTGAGTCGGGAATAGTCAGGAATTTGCAAGTTCAAGGCAAACTAGAGAAACGAAGCAGGCGCTCCTTGGGGCATAATCGGTTGGCCCAAAATGTCAGTCCCCTGTTTGAAAAGAGCCGGGCTCCTGAGCAAAACTATGGGCCAGTCGGATTTGTTCACGGATGCATGGATGGAAGCATTTCACGCTGCAAGGAACACGGGTCTCCATCCCTCTTTCCCCCCCCCTCGGTATCCTTGCCTGATGATCATCTCTCTCTGCCTTAAATAATTTCAAGGAAGGAGAACCCATCTTGCTTTTCAGGAGTTTCTCCTCATGTTTTGCGAAGCCTAACTCCCTTTACGTTTGTCCTAGTCCTGCTTTTGGGAGCCACTTGGAGCAACATCACTCCTTTCCCTCCACAGCAGCCCTTCTGATGTCTCTCTGTCTCTGGCTAAATACACCAGCAATGTCTGCCAGAGGTGCGCGGCCTTCAGGGTCAACCACCTGCTTCCAGCTGGAGTCAGCCAATCTGTGACATGGGTATAGAGTCAACTGCTCTTCTCTAGGATAGATAGACTGCTTCTGGACCTGGGTTCCCTCCTGAAAGAATTCTCTCCTAACAGACTCTGGGTATGGCTAGGCAGCGGCTGGCAGTTCCACGGGTGTCCTAGTCTGCATGCTGGATCCTTCTCAAGCCTAGATGGGTCGCAAGGACCAAATCCCCTTACCTCCATATCGGCCAGCTCCTCGGCTGGGCTGAGGCTGTGGACGGGGTGAGCCGCCGAATGCTGGTAGCAGAGGAAAAGCACCAAGGAGAAAATGGTGAGGAATGAACCCTTAGCATCCATTCTTTCGGGTCAGCTCTCGCGGCGGAGTCGGCTTTTTCGGAGGCGACGGTGGCTTTATAGTCTTCTCTCTCCGACGTCCGCGGCTTGTGCTCCCCTTTCTCCCGCGAGTTCTTATATACCCTTCGGAAGCTAGCTCTGCTTTCTTGGGTTATCTGGAGCGCATTCCAGTGCTGTTTCTGGCATGCTGCGTTTCCAAGAGAAGATTCTCTTTATTAGGTGTCACGGGGTAGCGGCTGTTCCAGAGGCATGCGAGTCACAAGCCAGTGATTTCATGTTGCCGGACCTCTCCGTTGATACCGCGAGCGGAGATTACGCGCCACCCCTGGCTGGACATTCTTAACATTTTTCCCCCTTCAGGTTGATGGCCTCTGGGGAAAGACATCTCTGTCTTTTTCCCCCCAAGGGGGGCAGAAGGCATCACGGAGAAACTGCCTTGTATAGGAAACGCACAAGGGAAGACAGACTTTCGGGAGGACAAACTCCAGCATCCTTCGTCTGTTGCTGCCATATATGGCCTACAGGGAGCTAGCCACATTTTTTCACCTCCAAATATTGGGGCTTTTTTCCTTTGCGGGTTTTAATTTTGGAACGGAGGGTCCCCAGGCCTGTTATTCTAAAACGAGGTGCGGGCACAAGGCACGCAGCTCGCTGAACCTGAATCGACCCATTTGTTCAGCCATCTATGCTAACTGAGACAAAGAAGGAAAGCTTGGCGTGTTGGTTAGGCGTACTCGATCATGCCTCGTGTCTAGATGCAGCTTAAGAATCCAGCTGCTTCCGAAAGCCTAAGGAAAATTGCCCCTTTTCGCTGCTGTTCGATGTGGAGTGCTTCTGAAGGTGGAGGAGTTGTCTTGTAGGGGGTCTACAATCTCTTATTCAGCTGGCCTCCTCCCCTCTTCAAGCCACCTGAGCTGGTGGCTTGTCAGTTTGGGAAACAGAGACACAAAATGAGTAACCCCTCTATTCTCCAGGAGGTGGTTTGCCCAGAGATGCTCTGAGGAAGGTCAACACTCAACCATTCCATCCTCCTGGCAAATAACTATCAATGTCACGGCTGACACGCTGAAGAAGTACTTGGCTTGCCTGCGTGTAGGCCAGGAACGGGGAAAGCCTTTTGAAAGAGCCGATGTTCTTGCCTGCACTCCTATTTTTTAAAGTGTGTGTGTTTGTGTGTTAAAATAGATAGATAAAAAGCCCATACCCTCCACAAGGTACTGCCAAGGGGGGGAAAAGAGGATTTTTTTTCCTTCCAGCGATCCAATTGGTATGTGCTAAGCCATCGCAGGGTATCTTACTTCCTGTGTTGAACTCCAGTGTAAGAATCCAGCCCCTGTGACTGACTTCTGTCTCGACTGAGTTGCTAGGGATCCCCAACAAATCAAAATGAGAAAATCTGCATCCAGCTAGTCCACGGTGATGCTATTGAACCCCTTGCAACAAGATGCGTGTTGATGGCTGTCCGTGGGAATGTTTTTAGGATCAACGGCATTCGATACCAGCGGCTGGGAAAAGTGTTCAGAAGAGTAATTCACTGACCGCTCTAGGTGCTTTTAAGGGAAGAGGAAAATGCTGCTGCTACTGATTTTCTGCTTTTTATAAGCCCCTGCATTAGGGAATGGAGCCTCCGCGTTCAAAGCCGGTCAACCTCTGTATGCCAGCGTCGGAGGAAATAGGCAAGGAGGTGGAAGAGTGTGAGAAGAGCCTTGCTCTGCCTCATTTATTAGTGCCAGTGGCCTCCCTGGGTTGAGGTCAGTTTTGACCTTGGAAAAAAGACCAGGAGAAAAACCGGTCGGAGCTAGTCGAAGAACCCAAGCCTTGCTAAGGACTTTGTGCGCGGAGGGTTGCGCTCTGCTGTCCATGGTGCTGAGCCCACAGGTCTTTAAATCACTTCCTTGCAGCTTGCTCTGAGAATGCAAGCCTCACTCAAGCCCGTAGAGATGCATGAATGGCTGTGAGAAATTGGGTTGGTCCTTCCATGCACAGAGAATTGGACACACCTGGCTGGAACTCCCTGATAGATTTCTGGGCATCGGACCCTTAGGAATATGCATTTGCGATGCAGATACTTTCCAGGACCCTTCCCCTTCCCCTTCCCTCCCCTCTGACAAAGACCCAAGTCTCCATTTCTACAAAACATTTATTGATGCCTGTTAACAATCAGATTTGGTCCCCATGACAAAGAAGGGAGGGTCTCCCTGGTTGTAGGACAACGACGTTTGAATGTTAAAAGATCCTGTACAATATTGAGACTGTGAGGTTTAGACAGCGTGAGAAGCAGAGTTGATCTTTTTGCAGGCGATGGAGAGGAGAGAACGATTTTCCAAGGGTGGAACAGTTCATGTCGAGGACTTTGTCGGCTGCTGGCTTTTGGGGGAAGGTGTGTCGAGGAGGTTTTGCATCTCAGCTTCTTGGTCTCCTCCAGGAACCTGAAACAGAGTTTAAAAAGTAATGGGTGAAGGATTCACATCCTCAGATCCTCAAATCCCATTTCTGCTTATGAGAAGGGGTCCCAGAATACAGAAGAATAGCTAGCTGAGTTTGTGTGAGCAGCCTAACATGGAGAGAGCAAAGCTCAGTGAGATGGTAACGCTCCCCCCTTGGAAAACAGAGCCAGAATCCAATAGGTAGAGCTGAGGCCTTGAAGGACATCTAGTCTACCCTTGCAAGAACCTTACGCAGAGTTGGCTGTTCCCATGTTACGTTTCTCCTACAACTACTTTACATCAGAATTGTCCCTCCTCTCAACTTGAGTAAACTGGTAATTGAATTTTGGAAGCTGAGCTCTTATTTGTCCCTCTCTGAGTTCTAGAAATGTTCTGTCACCCATCTGTACTTTCTCCTGCTTTGGGGGAAAAAAAAATCACACGTCACACGTTATGCCCCAGAAGTTTTCATTCTCGCCTTTCAAACTGGGGTGATTTCTCTGCCCGTTATTCCTTTCTTTTAATTTGTTTTACAAAATTGGTGTCAGAATACACAAGCCACTGGGTTTTCCTCGAACGGTTCGCCCTTTTCATCCCGCCAACGCCAAGTGAAAGTTGATCCAGATGTTGTGCTTAATGCTTCTCCCCGCTGCCCAATGCAGTGAGTGGAATCTCTTCAGTTTTGAGATTTGGAAAAAAGTCACAGTAAGCAGATTGGGGTCCCTTGACTTGTAAATATTATACACAAATGCAGTTTACTCCCCTAGGTGTTGGTGGGGCAGGGAGGTTCTTTGGGGTACGTTTTGTGTGGTTCCAAACCTAGACCTGTAAGTGATGCTTGAATAGCCCTACACCGTAAAGCTCTTAAAGGGGACCTACGGGGTTTGTAAGTCTTGCAGCCGAGTCCCGTCTGGGTCCCGATCCGATCGAGTCTGATCCCGAAGCACCCGGAGAAGTACCTCCTCGACGCCACCAGGAATTTCCTCCACTGCGCCTCCATCTCTCCTTGAAAGAGGGGGTCCTGAAGTTTGGGCTCTTGGGAAGGGGTCATCTCAGAGTCCCCAAGGTCAGGATAAGAGTCGTCGTCATTTGCACCGCCGGCTTCGTAGTCAGCAAGTTCTAGTTCCCCCTGCTGGAGTTTTTCCCGTAGCCGGTCAAGGAGGTGCTAAAATGGTAAGGGATGAAAAGAGAATCAGAACACTCTTGTCGTTTTTTTCTCCCTGCACAACCGAAACAGAGCCCTGCGCTGTTGCCCACCCAGAATAACTGAACGAGATTCTAGTCCTCATGGTTCTAGGAGAAGGGTTCCTTAAAGGAAGGCTTCTGCTCCTTACGCGGCTTTATACTCAGACCGTCTGCATCGCTCTGTTGGCAACCCTCTGCCCTCCAAGATCTGGAGACCTCGTGAGCGGCACCTGCATTTTCAGCAGGTAAAGCCAGCTGAATCTCCTTGATCCGCAAACGCCTTTGTCTTTCCCACCCTCTGCTGTGGGTTGCGCCCCAACCAAAGAGGTGCCCCCGGGAGTCTGTCGTTCTCCTCCTCCTTACCTGCAGGGCCCGCACGTCTTGGCCAGAGGGACCCCCCGTCACTGGATGAGCTGAGCCCGGCCCCGCCGGCAGAAACACCACAAGCAAAGTGAGGGAGTAAGTCAGACCCAGGCGGTCCATCCTGCTTGGCATATCCCAAGGCCTCGGGGATCTTTGCCGAACAGTAGGAAGGGCGCTTGGTTTTATAAGCCCCTCGAAGGGAGCTTTCTCTCTGCTTCAAGCCGGCTGGGCTCCAGTGACAAAGGCCGCTGAACCCTGATAAGGAAACTGGTTCCAACTGGCCTGGCTAAGAGCGGAGAGTTGGGGAAAAGCCGCCCTTGCTTCCCCCCCCTCCCCATCGAACGAAGCAATTACAGTTTTGTCGTTGAGCCGCCGAGCGCACAGCGCCCATTAAGCCTCCCAGCCCAGAGCCAACCGAGGTGCTTAAACTTCCCCTGTTCTGGCTGCCATCAGTCACGTCCCCTCCCACTTGCATCCTTCCAGCTTCCCCATTCAGGTGGTCGTGGGCTTCGATCGGGGGTCGTTCGGCGTGCCGGATGGTCGGAAATGCCCTGTCCAGTTGCCTGGCACGGCTGGCAAAACGCTGAAGGAGGAAGATGCGTTGCACCAAAGTTCGGGAGGGGCGTCCCGAGAAATTGGCCAGTGCTCTTTGCACGCAAGAGAATGGGTTAAAACCAAGTGCCCCCCTGAGCTGCCCACAACTTTGGTTATTCAGTGCAAACAGGAAGGGGAAAGTGATTAAATCGGTGATGGACAGGACTCATGCAAACTCTGAATTGAATCAAGGTGACACGACGGGAAATCGATCCGGCTTTCCTCCTGCCCCCGCCCGCTCCGTGTTTGGGAAGCTGGCCCCTGAGGTGGCATTCCTTCTGAGCCAGGCCTTTTCAGTTTGAGCTAGCTTAAGTGACTTTATATTTTAAGGGCTGATGTTTGGGTTTTTTTTTTTTTAACGAATTCTTGCTTGTTAGTTTGAGCGTGCGATGGGCAGG